AACCACAATCCAGTCCATGGAAATATACGACTCCTTCGAGTTCTCCATGGCTACTGGAAGTGTGGCATTGAGCCCCCCCCCCTCCTTTCGTCCCCCTTCACCATTACCACCTCCCACAACTTATTTTCCCTCTCCCTCGCTCGAGCCGATGGTTAATCTGCCGTCTTTATTTTACGTGCAATTGAGGGCACACTTAAACGTAAGCCTCAACGGAGACAAGAGGCACCCACTTGGTGAACTTAATAGAGTTACCATTGTAGGTCTTAAAAATCAGCGGGTTGAGGAAGTAGTTTGAATAATTTAAGAATACAAAAATGGAATAAAATGAAAGCCAAAAAATAGTAGGGCATATGAGTTCAGAGAGACCACCGTAAGAGTAGAGGGAAGTGCACAGTAAGGAAAAGTAACCGAAATTATGTGTTAATATGGCGAGTAAATACAAAGTAACACAGGCAGTTGGTTAATTTTTTTGTCAGTTTTCCATGCGTCAAACCGACCAAATCTTTACGTTGAAGCAACCAAAGCCGTGTGAAATGCACTGTCAGAGTAACCTACTGCTGGCTACTAGATTTCCCGAGGATTATCTGTAAACAGAAATCTAGTGATCGGCGTGAACCATTAATTTTTTTTTATTAATGCCCAAGGTTTTAATTGCAGTGCAGGTGAACCAACCGTGCTTAAGCCCTGCGAGTTTTCCGAATTTTGAAAGTGGTCAGGGACTGCATTAATTGAAAATTTTGGAGCAAATTTTAATTTGATTTTGACTGCCATTTCTGGGCCTGTTCTTTTAGCGGGGTTACACATTTTCAATGTATACTTTTGACCGCTATACGTCAATAATACACTGGAAAAAAACCCACATTGGATCCAGAGTCCAGACTCTTGAAAACATTGACAAGAAAAAGGACTCTTGATTCAATCAGATTTAAGCTTAAATCAAAAGGAAATCTGCTCAAATTAAGAGGCTTGGTTCTTGATTTAAGCTAAAATCTGATTGAATCAAGAGTTTCTTTTCTTGTCGATGTTTTTAAGAGTCTGGACTCTAGATCCAATGTGGTTTTTTCCAGTGTATTCCTGATTGTAAGAGGCTTTTTGGGTTTGATGGGAATTGAATTTATTTATGGGCACACTGCCAATTCTGAGGAAGTTTTATTCTGCAGGGATCGTGAGATGCTATCAAAACAGAAAATGCGTTTCCTCCAGATCGAACTTAAGAAGCTATGAATATTTGGGCAACTCGTATTTTAAAATAATCTGGCGCCGGACACGGAAACATACGCGATTTCGGATTATCATCGTACACGTGCAGTTTCATTTGACCTTGATCTATATCACGATGCCATTACCTCAGTATGATGAAAGCTTTGATCAGAGTAATAAATCCTTCTACTTTATCCTAATGTTATAAAGACGTCAAACAGATGATACCTCTGACGTTTGGACGACTTTCAATCTTACATCTATCTATTTTGCCGTGCTAAGAAGGAACGCTGTTTGAGCCTTCAGATATTACCAGATTTTCTCTGACGAGACACGAATCTTCGAGAAAATGTGTAAATATTTTCTTTTGTTTGTAATTTGATCTAAAACATCTGAAAATTTCAATAAGAAATATGCATGACTTTCTTTAAAAGTAAATATTTACCAAAAGGAAATTTGGCAACATTAGAATGCTCATTCGGCTATATTCCTTAGGACGACGGTATTCTGCCGTCAGGCGTTACCAAATTTCCTTCGATAAAAACCGAATTTACAAGGAAAATTTTGAATATTTTTTTCCAAAATTTTCGGACAGTTTCATGCGCAATTTAATCTAAAATATCCGAAAATTTCAGAGAAAAATGTGCATGAATGCCGTAAAAAATACATGTTCTGTCATGGGAAATGTTGCAACTCTCGAAAGTTCATACGGCGTTCTTCCTTAGCACGGTAGGGCAGTGTTGCGGATCTGATTTTAACGTAACCACTGTAAAGACAGAGCACACATCCGGCTCCAGAATAAAAGAAAATCAGTTTAATCAGGCTAATGTCTAACTGCCTCTAACCATCCGCGTCTCGCAATTTCAAGGCACAATCCAAAGGAAGAAGAAGAAGGAGAGGAAGAAGAAGAAGTAATAAAACGAGAGGAGGAGGGTCAAAAGGGGGACATCGCAGAATGCACAGCTTCTGTCGCCTTAATTTCGGTCTGATCTCCCGTGACGCGCCTGCAAAGGGCGCTGATTGCAGTCCGAGAGGCCAGCACTTCCATAACAGATCAGATCGTGAAGTCTCCATTTACGTCCGAATAATTAACGATAATATTTCACGACCCATTGTCGTCCCTTCTCTGACGTAAGAACCTAACTGCTTTTACACATGAGCCCTACTGTCCACGCACCTCCACGCTATCTAGAGCTCATGCGGAGATAGAGTTACATCCTTCCGTCAGAGGTAGCTAAGTCGTGGACCCACTTCCTACCCACACCGCAGCACTGCACCCGCGAGTGTTGCCAGCCGCGATGAGAGACGCCCATCGGATCAAAACCACGTACATACGCAGGATTTCTTTTGTAGTTGAGCGGTTTTGCGCATGTGGATCGAGACGCTGATCAGATGATTTTCACGAAGTTGGCAGCTAGGCTCTGCACTGACGGACTATCATCTCGAGGCCATGCTGCCGTGCTAAGGAAGAACGCCGTATGAACATTCGAGAGTTGCCAAATTTCCCCGGATAAAACATGTATTTTTAACGAAATGTAAGCATATTTTTTCTTGAAATTTTAAGATATTTTATATTGAATTGCGAACAAAATAGTCTGAAGAATTGGGAGAAATCTATTTACAATTTCAGCAATAAATTTATATTTTATCAGAGGAAATTTGGCAACGCCTGAAGGTTCATACGGCGTTCTTCCTTAGCACGACAGCATGGACGCTGCTGTGTTACTGAGGAGAGCCGTAAGTGCGTTTTCTGCATGAGCCATGGTTAGCATATGCTTTGATGTGTCTCGAGGCTCATTCCAGACTGGGCTATTGCTCTTTTCCGTAACACGGCAGAATGCACGGAGGCTCTTTCTTGCAACGTTTTCTTCCCTCCGCGGAGTTGCATCATCGCGGGTCTTTTCATCCGAATCTTTGTGGGATTTACTTAATTTCCATCAAATCTGGCAACTCGGATAGTGTGGCCAACAGAAATTGTTCCAATAGTGACGTCACTGGGTAAAGATGTGGTCATCCACGCCGCACTGCATGTTCCGGTAGATTTAATATCAAGATTCGATCTTTAAAAGATTCCTGCTCGAGGGGAGTCAAAGTTGCATACGTGAAAATATGAAGGCGCACGGCGCACAAGCAGTGCTTATTTTAAAACCCCTATGTATTTGATAGATATTTGGACCACAATTTGCAATATGGAAGTACTATCTTGGCTCATTTCACAAACAAAAAGGCATGATAGTTGCTTATGTGGGCAAATCAGAAATAGTAGTCCGTAATATTGCATCCACGGTGTCTACTAAAACAGGCTGGCCAAAAGTTTTTCCGGTACTTTTCCAGTACATTCCCAAGAAATTTAGTACCTCTTCAACAGAAAAATTCAGTACTTTTACACTACCTCCAATTGGCGAAATTCGAAAAATTTCAAAAATTTGAATTTACCGCTCAAATTGCAACGAAAATGACAAAAATGGAAAAAAATTCCGGACCTACTTGCGGAATTTCCGCACTTTATCAGTACTTCCGGACCGCCCTTAAAAAATCAGCACTTTTCCGGACTTTCCGGAAATTCCGGACTTGTAGACACCCTGAAAATGTAGTCCATTTGTGAGGTTCCGGGGAAAGAATTTCATTCAAAAAGATCTTTGATTTTTGATGAACCTGAGGTACAGGTGTGTGGCGCTAAATTTAGCTCTTTCAAAGAGGCAATTGAGGCAGTTGAATTGCATTCGGATATGCCGTTATCGGAGGAGATAACGCGCGAGGCTCATTGCTCATACTCTCCAGCGTTGCGATGCGCCGAGCGGTGGCCCACTTCGAGCCGGAGCGACAGCCTTGCCGCTCCATCTCGGTCTCCCGAGTGCAGCTCGTAAATTTTCCGGCTTTGAATAAATCTTTGATGACTGGCGGAAAACAGTTCCACGATCGCGGAGCTGATTTCGACGAGTTGAGTGAACCGATAAATTGGAAATTCAAGGACACCCCTTCAACCTCGACGCGACTCGATGCAGTTCTGCCCGAACTCATTGTGTAAATTCGTGGGATGCTTCAACAAATCTCTTCAAAAAGGCCGAGATCCATAAGAAAACCATAGGAAAACTTAACCAGCACCCCCTTCTCAACCCTTCCTCTCAAAAGAAAACCACATGCCTCCGGGCTTTCCAGTCAGGGTGTCTACTAAAACAGGCTGGCCAAAAATTAGTACTTTTCCGGTACTTTTTCAGTACATTCCCAAGAAATTCAGTATACCTCCTCCACAGAAAAAATGCAGTACCTTTTCAGTGCCTCCAATTGACGAAATTCGAAAAATTTCAAAAATTTGAATTTCTCGCTCAAATCGCGACAAAAATGGCAAAAAATGAAAAAAATCCGGACCTACTCGCGAAATTTCCGCACTTTTTCAGTCCTTCCGGACCGGATGAGTACTATTTCCGGACTTTCCGGAAATTTCGGACTTCTAGACAACCTGCCAGTATACTGCCGTCCACAACAAAGACGCGGTGACTCCACTCAAAATTGTCTCCTCTTTCCAGCACTTACTGCTCTTTTACAAGAAAATTCAATTGCTACAAGGCACATCATTTTTTTCATTTTTAGTTCCTAATGGCGTGGCAGAGTTGTATTGAAAATATGGAGGATGAATATTTGTTCGGTTTTCTGTAAAACAGCATTTCGTCAGAAAAAATTGAAAAGGTGTTGAATGGAGATACGGCGTTTTACTTTGGACGACGGTATAAAGGAAATAATAAAATGTTCAACTTTCTAAGCTACATCGTTCGTAACAACAATAATGCATTAATACTTACATTTGGCACGGTGTATCTATTGTATTCCTTAGAATTAATGGGATCTTGCTTATTTCTGAACGCCAGATAATTCTTCCGTAATTGCTTGCCATACTGTAAAAAACCAAAGAAAACAAAATTAGATTAAAACATTGATATGGGACTTAGAATAAAGACCTTCCCCTGGTCAGGCCCGCCACATCCCATCTCGGGCCCTGGTACCAGTTTTAAGGTCCGGACCCTAAGCACGGAGGGGAGGGGGTCCGAGGGGCATCCCCCGAGAAATTTTAGAATTTATACGACTAATCGGACGCATTTTGAAGCTTCCATAAACAATTTTTCCATCAATTTCTGCGGAATAATTATGTTTTTTTTTTTTTTTTTTTTTTTTTTTTTATTTTCAGCACAAAATACTTGCGAATTGTTGCATTCAAAACATCTGGAAAATTTTTATTTTTTTTTGGGGGGGGGGGCATATGATACTTTTTTCAGTTCTAAGAGGGCCAGGTCCCCTGGACTCCCCCTTCGTTTGTCTATGGCAAGGGAGTTGAGCCATGAGCCATTGAAGTCGAGGATGCCCAGACTGGAGACTCTTAGCATCTGACGACAGAAGAAAATGAAACGCAGTTACTAAAAATATCCATCTGTACTGAAAATCTTGAAAATGGATCGAAATTTTCCAAGAAATATACTTCTTTGAAAATTTAAAAAGAATTCTGAAGTGCCCCAGCGTGTTTCTGAAAATCTATCCACCTTTTGCCAAATTTTTAGGGTAAATTTTTCACTTTTCCTTACGAAACAAGGGTTGCATGTGAATTCGTAGTGTTTTCACGGGTAACACGGGCCCCCTCCGGGGCCCAGGCTCCGATACCAGGGACCCAGTATCCCCCCCCCCCTTGTGGCGGGCCTGCCTTCATGCGCGCCGGGCTTGTCGACTACCTTTGACATTTTTGCAGTGGTGAATGCATAGCTGAATTGCGCTTCAGCTAGAATTGTATTTACAAATGGGTGTTTTTCCTACGAGTATTACGGAATATAACAAAAGAATATGAACTATGCAAAACAATAATCCGGGTATCCGAACTTGGCTGTTTTGAAAACGCCTTCAAATGCGGCGTGATACCTCACGCATTCCGGAGAGTTCAAATAGTTGTATCATTGCGCCGTAAGAATGTGACGGAAGATTTGAATGGAGATAGCCTCCATGCACGCTGGCCTTTTCGATTTCCATTAACATTTTTGCAGTGGTGAATGCATAGCTGAAGTGCGCTTCAGCTAGAATTGTATTTACAAATGGGTGTTTTTTCTACGAGTATTACGGAATATAACAAAAGAATATGAACTATGCAAAACGATAATCCGGGTATCGGAACTTGGCTGATTTGAAAACGCCTTCAAATGCGGCGTCATACCTCACTCATTCCGGAGAGTTCAAATAGTTGTATCACTGCGCCGTAAGAATATGACGGAAAATTTAAATGGAGATAGCCTCCATGCACGTCGGGCTTGTCGATTTCCTCTGAAATTTTTGCAGTGGTGAATGCATAGCTGAAGTGCGCTCCAGCTAGAATTGTATTTACAAATGGGTGGTTTTTCTACGGGGATTAATAATAAACGAGTGGCACGGAATATAACCAAAGAATATGAACTATGCAAAACGATAATCCGGGTACCGGAACTTGGCTGATTTGAAAACGCCTTCAAATGCGGCGTGACACCTCACGCATTCCGGAGAGTTCAAATGGAAATAGCCTTCATGCAGGCTCGCCACATCCCATCTCGGGCCGTGGTACCATTTTTAAGGTCCGGGCCCCAAGCACGGAGGGGGGGGGGGTCCGAGGGGCATCTCCCGAGAAATTTCAGAATTTATACGACTAATCGGACGCATTTTGAAGCTTCCATAAAGAATTTTTCCATCAATTTCTGCGGGGTAATTATGTTTTGTTTTTTTATTATATAATTATCTGAGAAATCGGAATAAAAATATTTATAAGTTACCAGGATATTCGTGTTTTATCAAAGGAAATTTGGCAACACCTGAAGGTTCATACGGCGTCTTTCTTTAGCACAGCAGTACTGTGCTTCCGTGTTGCGTAGCCGGCGACTTGGCATTTCTAATTGGACGTATTTCTGCCAAACAGAACTATGTGCATTATGACGTGAGCCCTGTTATGCATATATTCTTATGGGTTTCAGGGGTCATGTCTTAATGCACATAGTTCTGTTTGGTAGAAACACGTCCAATTTATCGAGACCGCGGCAAGGACGAATAGAAAGGGTTGTTTCACTTGACTAAAATAGCGGCGACAGATGTCAGAATACCTTACTCGGACCCGCTCAGAGGGTACCCGTGACCTAGGGCGCTCGTCACGAAGAGATTCATCTCGGGCAAACTATTTTCAGGTCCAGAGACGCCTTCCGTCGAAAGGTAAATTTATTCCAACGACCGAAAGAAATTGAATTTACAGAGCATTTCCATACAAGAATCCGTCTATATTTAAAACCGAACGTGTCCATAATCTCATGAGCCCTGCGGTGAGAGCATTCTTGTGAGGTTCAAGGCTCAAAACGAAATGGACCTCTGAGCTTCAATCATCGACCTATACACGGATGCTTCATCGCGGAGAGAGTGAGTTCGTTTGCTCTGCACTCGTCTTGACAGTTTTTTGACCGATTCATTTCCCTGTGTGCTTGACGCTGGACCGAAAGCCCGGGTTGCGCTGGAACTTGTTGGTTTTTCACAGGAAGCTTACATGTAAGCCACCGGTTGGGATTCTTCTGCACTACAGTGGGGGAAAATTGGTATTTTGAACCGTAACAACGGTGTTGCATTTCAGCCATAATATTTACCGGGTTGCCATTGCCTATTGCCATTCCTATTGCCAGCGGTTTTTATCGAAGGAAACTTGGCAACGTCTGAAAGCTCATGCGGCGTTCTTCCTTAGCACGGCATAATAGGATTCAATTTTTAACGAGAATATGACTGAATAGTAAATATTATCCCGTCCACAATACGGCTGATTCATCAGAGAAAAATTTAATGAATGAATACTCAATTACAAATTGCCAACAGTTTTCTGTGAAAAATTCACAATTTGCGAGTGAAAAATTTGCAACGTTTGGATGTGGTTGCGTCCTTTTGTCTGAAAAACGATGAGCTGTACGCTGGAATTGGGGAAACGATCTTCCAAGACACTTCGGCGCGGGCTTCCGCGCGAGCATGCAGCAATAAAGTTCGAATTTCATTAGCATTCCGGGCAAGTCGTTTTCCAGGGGATGATTTAAATGAAACGGTTGTTTCTATGCAAACCTCCAGAAACGTTTTCGAGGAATCGTCGGCGTACACCTCCGGGAGCCGGCGTACCATTCTTGGTATCCGCTACGACTAATTTCAGGCTCACTTCAGCATCTGAAATTCGAATGAGACTCTAACGTCGTCGTTAGCGCTCTTTCGTTTCATGAATTCGACTTTTTCGTCGATATTTCTTCTGCGAATATTCAAGTGTAAATCACTAAATTTAGAGCGTCTGGAAACAAGCTTAGACATAACGGATTTTTGAATGGCTGAGTCGTTTCAATTTAGGAGGAAAAGCTTGGCCGTTCATCATCGAAATTAGATCATGTGCCACTACTTGCATGCCTGAAATGTACAATATATGGAATGAGCCCCACGCATTCACGCTTCGGATGAAAATATTGATCTGAAGTATTAAAAATATGGGTTTTTACACTAAGTTTGGCAACAAGAATGCGTCTTTCGAGCCCTTCCGTCATCTATTTTAATTACTACTGTGAACGACTATTTATTGCTGTCACTCTGGACATATTTTCGACCTTTAAATGATCTTCAGCGCTAAAATTTTGACCAGTGTCATATAAGCGCTGAAAGAGATTGATGGGTTGTATTTTGTATTGCCGAATCCAGTTGACTTGTCCCATTTTCCCAATCTTTGTCTGTATTTTCAATGGTGTGATGTTGTTCCTAAAAATATTTGGGTCGACTTAACCTCATTTCACAGCGAGATCCGTCCAAAATATTTCCGTAAAATGACTATGCACGGAGAAAAAAAAATAATATTATAAAAATTAGTTCGGGTCTTATGGATCGGTTCTCGCACGTGCAAGCCGAAAAACGTCAAAGATCCATATGATTCGAACAACAGGTTTGTGGGGAGAAAATTCGAGCAGAAATAAACCACATCCAACATCTTGGATTTTCGAATTTTGAAGTTTTGAGTTGAGATTCAAGTTTCCCGTCAAAACAGATCTTCTGGTACCAAGTATTGCTAAAATCGATCAAACAGGAAGCGCATATCGTAGGATCATTAGGGCTCAGCACGGTGGTAAATGATGCCGTAAATTAAACACGTTAATGCGCCTTCATTTTCGTCAGATACTGTGCAATACTGGTGTGGTGGAATAGTTGCTCGGAGCGCCTTTGATAGTATGGCTTCGACTTGACGGCGGAAGGTCACGATTACCGCTGCAATTACACTTTAGCCTGTGCGCAGTAATACCTTTTCTCATTACCGACAGTGAGGTAAAAAATATTCATACCTCAACTTGCGACGTTGCAAGTTTTCCACAGTCTATTTTATGCTGGGAACCAATTGAAAGCTTTCAAACTGCCGCGATTTTTCCGAGATACGATAAGATTAGATGAATCCTTTTAATGTTTAATTCAAGTCTATGCGTGTGTGTTCGTTATGAAGGGAAAAAGAAATGTGAGTAGGAACCTTCGAACGCACAAAAGCGAAAGATATGTTCAATTGCATAACTTCCGATCAAAATTCTGAGTTCAATAATCATTATGTTACTTCATGGCAAACGTATCATTGATAAAATATCATAAATTAATTTATGACCCCTTAAATTTTGGGAAATTTTGATCGCGAGAACACTTGGCGTTGGCGTAATACACCAGCCTGGCGTAAATGCACTGAGGTTATGTATTTGTTTACATTTGAAACATCGAACAGCGGTACACATCGAATGACGTAGCCAATAAATCTTTCTACTCAGATTGAACCGTACCCTACCGCAGAGGCGGATTCTGGGCATTGTTACCGGGTATTTCTGAATAATCAGCATTTATGACATGGCGTCTCATGGAAATTATGCTGATTTTCAGTGAAATCCGGCGACTGTGATTCTGGGTCTCGTCGGAGCAGGTGGTGAACCTGTAGAGATCGATCACCCGATGAGATCTCGTATTTTCATTGAGAAAATCAGCTTAATTTTATCCATGCAAATTTGTTTGCGCGAATGGAGAATGCAAACCAGTAAATCCTACCCCTTTTACGGATGCTCTCAACTTTGCATCGCGCCAGATCCTTTTCCTTAAAATAGAGCTTGACCGCTTCTGCAAAATCCGATGGTTATTTTTGGCACATGGTTGCGCGGCTGGAAGAGCCCTTATTAATTTAAAAGTATTGCGCAACTGCGTGATCACTGCATGGAAAAACCAGACTTCCTCTCGATTTCAGCGCAGCAATAATCATACTTGTAAGTTAACGGAGAAAACTTTCTGCGTGGGACCCGAGGGGTTCAAGTCATATAAATCTCTGAACTTTTCGGATCGTACATCTTAAAACTTCAGGTTCGTTACATAGTATCAAGAGTTGATAATACCGCGGTTAAAAGAATCCATGCATGTACGCAGTAGGATCGCTGAACCCATTAAAGACAAAGCTGCCAAATATTTGCGAGAAAATTTTAAATTCAACACTTTAAATTTTCACAAAAATAGCGTTAATGTTTTTAATTGGATGCTGGAGATAGCTCCACTGATTTGAATTTTTTTTTTTTTTTTTTTTTTTTTACAAAAAGAGGTAAGTCCATCGGAACGCTTCAAAATTGCCATGCCAGCACACTCTCGTATGGATGAGCCACAGAAAAACCCACCCTAAAATTTCATCAAGGGTTAGTCTTTCAAAACGGGGAAAAACTAGAACATCTAAAGAGAAAAAAACTACTTTTGCAAGCATGGATTCTGAAAAATTTGTTTCTAAAAGCTCAAAATGTAAAGTTTTAAAACTTGTTTTTTGGTACGCTAGTAGGGCAGGAGAAACGGTGAATGCAGTTGTGCTAAGGAAGAACGCCGTACGAACATTCAAGAGTTGCCAAATGTCCTTCTATGAAATGTTTATTTTTGAGGCAAGTTAAGCATATTTTTCCTTGAAATTTTCAGGAACTCTAGGTGAAATAAGGAACAAAATTATCTGAAACTTTGGAAGAAAAATTGTCCTACACTGGAAAAAAACACATTGGATCTAGAGTCCAGACTCTTAAAAACATCGACAAAATACTCCTGATTCCATCAGATTTAAGCTTAAATCAAGAACCAAGCCTCTTAATTTGAGCGGATTTCCTTTTGATTTAAGCTTAAATCTGATTGAATCAAGAGTCAATTTTCTTGTCAATGTTTTCAAGAGTGTGGACTCTAGATCCAATGTGTTTTTTTTTTTCCAGTGCACCCTGCTCCGTACCATGGTCTAGAGCAAAGCTTCCCGAGGAGGTTCAGAACATTAAAAATTTAACTCGCTTATAGACGGCCTCCACGACGGGAAAAATGCATGGGAAAGATCCAATGTGTTTTTTTCCCCAGTGTATGTTAACCAGGAAATTCATGTTTTATCGGAGGAAATTTCGCAACGCCTGATGGTTCCATACGGCGTTTTTCCTTATAGCATGGGAGAATGGTGGTGTCTGGTGTTACCTTAGCTAGGCGCATGGCCGTGGCCCAGCAAGTGCGAATTCTCTCGGATTCGCAGGCGAGACAGAGAAGGCCCTCCGTGTTATCTGCGGCCCCGGGCGTCGGGGGCGTCGAGGGGGCCGAGTGGGCGCGGACGCGGTTGGGGCGCAGGCACAGGCCGAATTCGGTGGGCGCCCGCAGCTGGTTCTTGGCGTTCAGCGAGACGTAGACCGCGTAGTCGCTCAGCTCCGCCAATAACTGCAGCTGACCCCAATCCTCCACCTCATGGACCTGCAACACAGATTTCATCCGTTAGAAAATCCTCCGCTATTCATCCGAAGATAAGATTCAATAATAATTATCATAAATCCTGAGTTATATTCAGAGAAATAATTCCAATAACCACTTACAGGGTGTCTACTATAACAGGCTGACCAAAAATAAGTACTTTTACAGTTCTTTTTCAGTGCATTCCCCAGAAATTCAGTACCTCCTCAATTAAATTCGGTACTTTTTCAGTACCTCCAATTATTGACGAAATTAGATAAATTTCAAAATTTTGAATTTCTAGCTCAAAATGCGACAAAAATGACAAAAAATCTTACAGAATTTCCGCACTTTTTCAGAACTTCCGGACCGCTCTTAAAAAATCAGTACTATTTCCAGACTTTCCGGAAATTCCGCTTTGTAGACACCCTGACTTATAATAAGGACTGGTTAAACTTACAAAAAAAACTCTAAAACACGAAGCTCAAACAGTATGTGTTAAGCTACGCTCAACAATACTTAAATCATATAATACAATGATTCAAATATAAAACAAATAAAACTGAAATCATTTTATCAATAATTTTTCATACCATTTTCTGAAAGTTGAACTGGATAACAGTTTATTGAATAGCAAGTAGGTATGCAAATTTTGAGCTTGGAAGATCAGCTGATAAGGGGTTGCCAAGTCTCAACAGTATGTAACAAGGTGGTAAAATAGAGCTGGGATCGCTTTATTTTGCGACAAAAAAAGGCAAAAAAGTTCAAAAATTTCAATTAGAGTCAAAAATTTTGAGCTCTAAAACCGGTTAAACTTACATACTACCTGCAAAGAGATTCAATTTTGGCAAAAAATAAATTGACCTGCAAAATTTGCAACACGGGAGTTAAAACTCTACGAGCCAATCACATTTCGCTTTACTCTCGGTCGAACTTGGTATAAACTGAAACTCTGTGGTTGACCATTAACCCACTAACCGACCTATTTTTATCTTTCATTCGCGGAGCGGAGAGAAAAAACCTTCCATTTAAGTAAACAGAGCTCAAGTCTCTTCTTCATCCGCAATCCATTCACTTTTTCTCTGGACTGACTCCGATTGTTACAAACAACGGTCTTCTGGAATCAAGAAGTCACCATAATCCTCGGAAAAGGATTTCCTCAAATCGTGCTATGCAGCGAAAAATTCGCCTGTTCTACTTGTATTATCGAGTTAATTCAAACCAACACATCATTTTGACTCTTTCATGCACATAATTGTAACACACAATAGTCATCAAACATCAAGAAGTCACTATAATCCTCGGAAAATGATTCCCTCAGATTATTCTATTTGCAGAAAAAAAATGTGCATTATCGCTTCATATCTCACCTCTCTCTTCGAGTTGATTCAAACCAACACATTATTCTGTCATGTCTCACATATGATTATTATTATTATTTCATCATTTTTTTTTCGTCTTCCTGTCCTTAACGTTTACGGAATGCGTTTAATTCTTCGCCTGCTATGTATCAACGGCCGTAAATCTAAACGAGCGCGCTTGAAGAAAGACACTGGTCTGTCAGATTATGCAAATGCGTTACACTGAATAGAACTAATAGAGTCTGATTACTAAGGGAACGTATCGTTACTCGAAATGCACGTGTGCAAGCAGTGTGCAGTGAACACTGACCTTTCTCTCGAGTCCTTCACGCCCGGTTTGAGACCATTCCAGCAATTGCTAATTGCAGCGATAATCGACGTCAGTACTCGAATTTTTTGTCTCATAACTCGATAAGTTTCTCGCGTTCAAATCTGAGGTCTGCAATCGAGGTGCGAGAGAGAAGTTGAGTTCCTTAATTTATGGATTCTTTTTTATTCTAAAGGAAGTCTAATTGCATACGAAGGGTAATAAAATTGACGTCGCTTTACAATACAACATGACTATGGTGGGGCACAGAAAAAATGTAGCCCAGCCTGATGAGAACGTATTCTGCCTCGCTATGGAAGAACGTCGTAAGAACATTCGAGAGTCGCCAAATTTCCCTCGATAAAATGTTTATGGATTGTTAGGATGGGCTGATTCCTTTCCGACGGACTCGACCCATTTCGAAGCCGTTGCTCCGCTCATTTCCTAATTGATGTGCAGGCCATTCACGGGGCCAGACGTCCCCATTCAAAGTAGGCAGTAGGCGGGTCGGTGGAAAAATTCGAACTAACGGCTGGATATTGATCGGCATCAATAATAGATGTCCGGTCGAAACGAATCGGGCGAAAAGTTTTGACATTCGCGACTGCAGACCTGTCTGGCTGAGTGAGTTTTGTGGGTAAAAGCAGGAACAATGGGTTCTGGATAAGTGCCACGTTGCCAATTGCCAACAAAGTCGAAAACGTTTTGTGGAAATCATGAGCCTCCTGGATGAGTCCTCCGAAGTCGAAATCTGACTGCGAATTGATTGTTTTCAATTTTTTAAACCTACTCCGAAGCTCAAACTGGTCCATGAAGTTCGATCGTAGTCAGTGGCGTGGTATGCTTTGCAATATTTTGATTCGTCTGCCATTTAAATTTATGAGAAATGATCGATAAACAGGGTGTTCGTTTAAAAATCGATTCTTAACCACAGCTTCTAATGGGATAATATTGATAATCGATCATCCACGCCACGCCACTGACAAAGAGTCTACTGTGCGGAAGAAGAGCACCTAACATGAGTCTAGCGTGGACATGTTGTAACATAGAGCTTTCACGGCCCAGGAGGATAACCAACCTTTTCACACGAAAAACACCACAAAAATGCAGTTGACAATCTTCAAATTGAAATTTCAAACCGAGATGGCCAAGAATGTTTATCAACGTGTGTCTTTCCGCAAAATCGAGGACATTTATGCAAGAAATAAGTTTGCAACATGCTTTAATAATTTTTGAAAGGATAGGTAGTATCAATTGTTTTAAGTACGGGCAATTTGAATTGATAGGTTGGTTGCTTCGACCTTAGACCCTTAGAACTCCATGATCCGATTAAAAATAACCTTAAAAATGACTGACGTATCCTTACTCTACATGAGCCTTCGGACGTTGTCGCATTTTTTCGATAAAGTACGAATTTCCACGAACTTTAGAATATTATGTTTTCAATTCTTCAGAAAATCTTGTATAAAAATCCAAAGTTCCTGAAAATATCTACGACAATATCATGAGTTTCCGCAAAATTAAATATTTCAACGGAGAAATTCAGCAAGGTCGGACTGAGGTTACGGCGTTTTTCCTCGGCACAGAAGAGGACTCCCGCACGGTGCATTTTCGACCGGATTTGTGAAAACCGGATCTCTCCTGAGTGAAAAGTTTTCGAGAGAGCAATAAAGCACTTAACGGCCGCTGACTGTGGAGCCCTTTTGAATGATGAACCGCGCAGCGGTCAAAATAAGGCCCGCCCTTTGGTGCAATCGCACGATTTCCTTGAAAGCCTCGACCTGAATCGCACAAATAAAATGGGGATGCTTTCCCGATCATCTTGGCAACGCTGCATAAAGACAGGGTTCACGAACCGGGGAAAGTTCCTCGAATTGAACGGAAAACTCTTCTCGGAGGAAGAAGAAGGAAAAGTCCCTTCGAAGAAACGTATGATTTGAATACTCGATCAAATGACCTTCTATTGTTTCAAGGTTTCCAAGTTTCGCATCCAGGAAATTCTGCTCTAAAATTCCGATACAGGGTATAATTCGGTGTCCTACCGATCAGTCAATTTTTGATGAAAGTTGTCAAACTTTAGTACACTTTCTAATAACAAGGAAATAGTTTTCATTCGTTAAACGGTTTACACTTCGCATTGTTAAGTTCAGCCACTTCAATGTAATTTGACACGGAATGTTTTATCAGAACTTACTGTCGTGTAAGAAAAATACAGTCCTCCGCACAGCGTAATCATCCTGGAAGGTAATGGTCGTGCTCTATGAATAGAAAAGTCGTAATAAATATATTAGTTCTTTTCTGACCATCTCTCCATTAGTTGGAGACAGTTAAATTGAGATCATGTCTTTTCTCGCATGAAACTATGTGATTCCACGATTCAAACATCAATGCACGCGTGTTGCATAACCGGCAGACTGAAGGAAATTATGCAACGGATTTGTCGACGGCAGGGGTGGATAGACGCATTTACCTCTACATTGCTGTCGTCCTAAGGAAAAACGCTGTATGAACATTCGAGCATGCGGCTCAGCACTACTGCCTGCAGGAGGCTGATTGTTGACATTCATAGACAAAGCGATAGACAAGGAAGACATAGGGAGTACGAAACGATCCCATGATTGAAATGAATGCTTCTTGTCGACTAGGGAAGAAAATGGACCGACTAAAGGCTCTCTCGTGGGTTGCCGTTAGTTAGTTCATTACCTACCTCATTAGTCCATTGCAATCACCCACTTGCATCAAAAGGATCCGGATCCCTCCTTATCCTTTTTGTCTCCTATGTCTATGGCTTCGTCAGCCGATTTCAACAACATGGTGTCTACTAGAACAGGCTGGCCAAAAATCAATACTTTTACAGTTCTTTTTCAGTACATTTTCAAGAAATCAGTGCCTCCTCGACGGAAAAATTCAGCACTTTTTCAGTACCTCCAATTGACGAAATTCGAAAAATGTCAAAAATTTGAATTTTTCGCTCGAATTGCGTCAAAAATGGAAAAAAATTCCGGGCCTTCTTGCAGATTTTCCGCACTTTTTCAGTACTTCCGGACCGCCTTTAAAAAAGCAGTACTATTTCCGCACTTTCCGGAAATTCCGGTCTTGTAGACACCCTGTTGGCGCTGTTTTACCTAAAGTGATAGGGCTCAGCGCTAAATCGTTTTTCTCCGTGCATATCAACCGGACTTTCGGGTTGTTTCATCTCTCGCTGGATGAAACCGACATGTTTGCCAGGAAATCCGACGAGGGTATGAATATTCAAACGGCGAATCTTTTGTCGTCCGCGGCGCGTGTGTTGCGTTGCGTCGCGTCGCGTCGATACGGAGCGTCTTGGCTGACGTTCAGGTGCCCTGGCGTCGGGA